AAAAAAAAAAAAAAGTAGAAATAACACATGGTAATGTATACCTTTCACACATAATTTATTTGATTATTCCCTTAACATAGATTCTTAGATGTAAAATTTCTCAGTCAATTGGCATAAACATTTTAAAGCCTTTTGATACATACTGCCAAATTGCATACTGCAAGAGATGTTGCCAAAGTATTCAAGGGAAATTTAATTTCTAATAAATGCACTGAAATGCATTTATTAGAAAACAAGAAAGGCTAAAAATAAATAAACTCTAACCATGTAACTCAAGACGCTAGAAAAAAACCAGATACACCCAATAGAAGTAGAAGGATATAATAAAGAATGAAAAATTAACAAAAGAGAAAATAGCATGTAAAAGCTATTTTACATGCTACTGTCTTGATTAGGGAAAATACAAGTAAACCCACTCCTATACACATTGAGTAAAATGGCAGAACATGCTTCTGCTTTTCAGGATTTTGCAAATCCTAATGTTAAAACTAACCAGAGAGAAAAGTCAGGCTGTCTCAAAAGAAACAATAATTAGACTAATAACAGACTTTTAATCGCAGCACTAGAGGTTAAGGAATTACTGAGAAAAATTAAATTCCAATTTAGAATTCTATATCCAGCTATGCTAAAATTCACAAGGGAGAAATAAAGAATTTACTACTCTCAGACATACTTGCTGAAAAACTACTGAAGGATTCATTTATTTTATTTACATAAGAAATACTTTTATAAGGCTTAGTATGTGCCTGGCACTATTTTAATCATTCTACAAATATTAATTCATTTGATCCTAATAACAACCCCAAGAAGTAAATAATACTATCATCTCTCTTTTACAGATGGAGAAATTGAAGCACAAAGAAATTAAGTACTCTGCCCAGGGTCACATAGCTAGAGATCTACAGAGCCAGATATCAAACCCAGGCAGGCTGACTGCAGAGCTGGTGCTTTTAACCATGATACAAGCTGCAACTGCTCTGGGAGGCTGAAGGAATGGAACTCAGAAGGAAGGAGGAAATGCAAGAACCAGTGGTAAAACACTGGTAAATGTTCCGGTTAATCCAAACTTGTGTTGGCTATTTACAACATATAATAATAGTGATTAATCTGGGGTGTGTTAAAAACATGATGAAATTAAAACCATGTATTGATACAACAATAACATGTAACATGAGAGGAGGAGTAGAGTTAGTGTTCTGTTCTATCTTGTTGAGGGGCTTAATTTAACAGTTATGCAAGTTAACATAAAACAAAAGGAGATAAAATGTAAATATTAATCTTGTAGAGGGAAATAAAGGGAGAATAAAGAAAACATAATCCAATGGAAAGAATGAAATGAGAGAAAAAGAAACAAAACTCCCCAAATCCCAATCCAACAGATTTTTTCAAAAATTTTAGCAAGCTGATCCTACAATTTATATGAAAAAATAAAGGGTTTTAAATAGCTAAGACAATTACTATAAAGCTACATTACTCAAAAATGTGTTACTGGCACAGGGATATACAAATAATCTATTGAAAAGAATACCTGTCTGATAGCTTAGAACATGACAGAAGTTAAAATCCATGACTTTGTTCTAAAACATCAGCATAAAAAATATCAAAACTGTAATGTTTGGTGAAGCAAGCAAATTGCAAAAAGATAATATACAAGATGATGTTATCTATGTAAAAATTTAAGATACCATGGACATACAGGTAATAAAAAAACCAAAAACATACAGAGGAACAACACATAGTAACTAAAGCATAATGGTTACCTCTGAGCAGAGTTGAGAGAATAGAGCATGAGGCTTTAGTTGTTTCTGTTGCTTTTTTTTTCATACCAAAAAAAAAAAAAAAAAAAAAAACCTGCAGCTCTTATGGCAAAAAATTTAACATCTACTTAATCTCAGTTAAGACAATAGCTGTTACATTTTCTGAACTTGTCTGAAATATTTTTTACTTAAAATATTTTTAAAATCTAAAAACAGAGAGAAAGAAAATAAAAGGGAAGAGACAGAGAGGAAAAAGAAAGAGGAAGAAGGAAAAGAAACTAATATAAAACCTTAGTGTTGTGAGAATTTTATTAATACCTTCATTCAGTGGTATTTGGGTGCCATCACAGTCCTCAGGGATACCATCCCCCTTCCCAACTTAGGCCAGTGGTCCCTGGACAGCTCAACTGGCAGTCCTCCTAAAGAGCCCCAAAGCCTTTCTAACCCCCAAATGGCTGTTTAGTGGGGATGCAGAAAAATACATTGCTCTTAGGTGAAGAACTCAGTGGAAATGTTGACCAACTTTCTCTGTTCCCTACCCAGATTTAGAGATGACACTGGGTCACTGACCTTTTCATAACCTCCACTGGTCCAGGTCTTCCCTTTTCATTGCCAGACCCCCAGGCTGTTCTCTAGTTAATTTATGCCTCCTAAAGGGGGTCAAGCTTATTATTGCCTGCATATATGATCCTTTCCAGGTCTTCCCTTTTCATTGCCAGACCCCCAGGCTGTTCTCTAGTTAATTTATGCCTCCTGAAGGGGGTCAAGCTTATTATTGCCTGCATATATGATCCTTCCTTCTATTGGAGGGATAATGGTCCTGCCTGACTTGGGCCACGTGGGAAAATGATGGGGCATAGAGTTGCCTTCCAAGGGCCCTCACAGCAGCTCTTCCACCTCTGGCCCCAACTGGCCCTGATGCCACTGGGGTCCATCTCTACCCACTACAGACCACACTCTGGTTAGCATAGATCTCCAAGGAGAGCCCTGTACTGGAGGTTGAGACACTTGCTGGAGACTTAGGAGAAGCCTTGGGGCTTCCCAGCCCCATGAACCACCCCCCCAACTACCTCCCAGGCACTGTTCTTTTCCTTTTTCTTTTAACCATTCCCTACCGTTTCAGACTTGCTTTCCTCTCCTCTAACTCCCCTCTGTAAACCCTGACCCAGCCCCCTTTTTTCAAAGCTATCTCTTCTATAGATACTTACCCTGAACATGCTTCACCTGGAAATTTCTACAATCCATGGTGCAAAGCTCCCAGCAGCCTGATGACATGATGGGCAGGGAGACACTCAATCAGGGCCAGGAGGCTTCCAGCCTAGAAGGGCACTTTGCCAGGTAAGGGGCATCTCTCCCAAAAGGAAGACCTTGTTAATCCTTGGCCCTGGATAACTCATTGGTTATGTCTAACATAAACCTCTTTGAGATGAAATATAAAAAGAAGAGCTACTGCTACCAGATTCTGGTGGAGTCCACCTTATGTGGAGGTGGTCAGTCCACAGCCTGACATATAACTTCATTAGGGTATACACAGGATTTTTTTTTCCCGAATAGATATACATTTTCATGTATGAGTTTTGACTAAAGTATTTTCACAGCTGATACAGTTTTGGGGGTGTGGATTCTTATACTGAAGACAAGTATTTTTAAATTTACTACACCGATTTAATAATTTGATCATTTATCTCTAAGTCCATTAGTATAATCATCAGGTTCACAAGATTTCTCTCCTGCAGGGATTAACTCATGACAAAACTCATGATCTGACTGTGAACACACTTTCTAAAAAGGCTTCAACATGTTGACCTTGAAGTCCTTACCCCACTATCACACAAACAGGGGTTCTCTCCCACATGGATTCTCACTCAACAAATATTTACTAGGTGGCTACTCCTGCCAGGCACTGTGCCAGGAGCTGGGGACACAATGGCGAGCAAAGCACACGCAGCTGCCCTCTCTTGGAGCTGCCAGAATCGTGGTAGAAACAGGCTCTCTGGGGAAGGGGGAGATATGCACACACCTACACCTGCATGGTTTTCTCCCATGTGGAGTCAGATGGATGTGAAGGCCTGACTCGCTTCTCATGCACACAGGGACTCTACCACGCATGGACTCTGATGTGCATGAAGGTTTGTGCTGTAATGGAAGCCCCAACCACAGACACTGAAATCAACGGTTTCTCCCCTGCGTAGATGCTCTGCAGAGAAGCTCTGGGTTCTTAAGAAACCCTTTACCACACTTGCACATTTGTAACATTGCTCTCCTGTGAGGACTTATGGAACTCAAGGTTAGTGCTCTTTCCAAAGCCCTTACTACACTTAGCACATATAAATGGGTTTTCTCCTGTATTAATTCTTAGATAAACTCGAAGATCTAAGCTCTAACTGAAGAAACGCTTATCACACACCCATCACATCTGCAGTTTCATTCTCTGGAGAACATGAAGATTCACTGTGATCGAAATCCTTCCCACACTCCTCACACCTATAGGTTTCTCTCCTGTGTGGACTTTCTGATGAGCACGGAAGCTTGTACTTTAAGGGTTTCACATTGAAATGGTTTCTCTTGTGTGGACCCTCTGATGCTCTTGGAGGCCTACGTTCTGTCTGAAGTTCTCACAACACTTCTCACATTTGTACGGTTTTGCTCCAGTGTGGACTCTCCAGTGGATGCGAAGGTTGGGGCTCTGATGGAAGCCCTTGCCACACTCCTCGCACTTAAAAGGTTTCTCTCCTGTGTGGACACTCTTGATGCACGTGAAGATTCGTGTTATAACTGAAGCCTTTGCCGAACGTATTGCACACGAAAGGTTTCTTTCTCGTGTGGACTCTCTGGTGGATGTGAAGGTCTGTGCTCTGACTGAAGCTCTTGCCACACTCGGCACAGTCATAAAGTTTCCTTCCTGTGTGGGAAAGGGGATGCTTTAAGAATGAGAAAATGTTTACAATGACGAAAAAATATGACCGTCAAGTTAAAACACCTCAAGGGAGGTTGTAAGCAATAGAATATCAGACTGGAGAATGTAAGAAACTATGTTAGTGGATTGAAAGATGAACTTGAAGATGGGACTTCCTGGTGGCGTAGTGGTTAGAATCCGCCTGCCAATGCAGGGGACACGGGTTCAAGCCCTGGTCCGGGAAGATCCCACATGCTGCAGAGCAACTAAGCGGGTACACCACAGCTACTGATCCTGCGCTCTACAGCCCACAAGCCACAACTACTGAGCCCACGCTGCACAACTACTGAAGCCTGCGTGCCCCAGAGCCTGCGCACTGCAACTACTGAGCCCGCGCACTGCAACTACTGAGCCCGTGTGCTGCAACTACTGAAGCCCGTGAATCTAGAGTCCGTGCTCTGCAACAAGAGAAGCCACTGCAATGAGAAGCCTACACCGCAAGAAAGAGTAGCTCCCGCTCGCCACAACTAGAGAATGCCTGTGCACAGCAACGAAGATCCAACACAGCCAAAACTAAATAAAATTTTTAAAAATAAATAAATACAAGTTCTTTAAAAAGAAAAAAGATCAACTTGAAGAGTTCTACTAGGACTCAGAGGAAAGGATTTAAAAAATGGAATTATGATCTTGAAGCTCCTATATATTATATGTATAAGAGACTCAGAAGGAGAGAAGAAAGAATATGAAATAATAATAATAATAAATAATGAGAATGTACTTAGTCTGAAAGAGAACTTGATTCTCTTAGATTGAAACTATTTTCCCAGGACCACTTAGGAGTGCTAAAAAAAAAAAAGACAAACTAACATATACACCTACTGGGATGAAATTTATGAATTTCAAGGATCAAGAAAACATAAGCATACAAAACATTAAAAAAACAAAACAAGTTACTCCCTTGAAAAGAGACTAAGACTGACCAAAGACAATAGTACAATATTTTCAGTCTTGAGGGAAAAAAGACTATCAGCAAGCAAGCTAAACCTAAACCAATGATTCCAAGGACAAAAGGAAGGAAAAAAAGGGGGGACAAAGATGTCCAAAATTTGTCAAAATAAAAACTCGTGAAAAGGGAAGGCATGGAATACAAAAAGTAGAAATGAATAAATTAAAGCTTTTCCTCTATACCCTCAACAAAATCTCATGAAATATCAAGGGAAAACTCCCCATGAGCTGAAGGCTTCAGAGATGAATGGGCTCAATGACAGGCAAATATAATTACAGGGTTGGGGGGGTGGCGGGGAGGACTGCCTAGCTAGGCACATCCTGGTAAAACTCCTGAATTCCAAAGAAGAGAGGGACGAGAAAAACAGGTTAAACAAACAAAAATAAGATAAAATAAGACAGAGAAAATTACTAAACGAATGAATCAGATCAGACTCAGCAGTATCCAAGGCTTAAAAACAAAGATACAATGGCTAGAACATTCTCAGGGAAAATGATTTTGAATCTAAAGGTCTCTACTCAGTCAAACTACTATGCAAGGGACTTCCCTGGTGGTGTAGTGGTTAAGAATTCGCCTGCCAACGCAGGGGACACAGGTTCAAGCCCTGGTCCGGGGAGATCCCAAATGCCGCGGAGCAACTAAGCCCATGCGCCACAACTACTGAGCCTGCGCTCTAGAGTCCATGAGCCACAAATACTGAGCTCGCATGCCACAACTACCAAAGCCCGTGTGCCTAGAGCTCTGCAACAAGAGAAGCCACCGCAATGAGAAGCCCGTGCACTGCAACAAAGAGTAGCCCCCGCTCACTAGAGAAAGCCCACGTGCAGCAACAAAGACCCAACTCAGCCAAAAATAAATAAATTAAAAAAAATTAATTTCAGTATATCAATACATCATACAATGGAATATGATATAGCCAGTTAAAAGACTGAGATAGGTCTAAATATTTTGACATGTAAAGATATCTAACATATGTTACTAACTAAAAGGAAAGTTGCAGAACTAATTTTTATAACATAAACAGATAAATACACAAATAGAAACAAAACAAATATGTATCTGTGAGCTTATATATTTTCTGTCTGCTTATATGTAATATAAATAGAAAATAGTCTGAAAGATACTTTTTACTTTATATGCAATATATTTTGTTTTAATACCTTTCTAATGAAATAAGTAATTACAGGGAGGGGGGCATGGGGAGTGACTGCTTAATGGGTGTGGGGTTTTCTTTTAGGGTGATGAAAATGTTCTGGAACTTGATAGAGGAGTTAGTCACACAACATTGTGATGTACTAAATGCCACTGAATTGTACACTTTCAAATGGTTAATTTTATGTGAACTTCACCTCAAAAAAAAAAAAAAAGAAATATAAATGGCGGAGGGGGAACTCAAGTTTTTACTTAGTAGCAACATTTTTCTTTCTTCAATAGTGATTTGGACACTCTGATATTTGAATCTCAAGCCCTCACCTAGTTAAACACTTTAAGAGCTCACAGCTTTAAACAACCAAGGGAACAAAAATTCTCCAAAGAGCAGTTGTCCTCACCCACCAAGACCAGGTTGCCATAGATCTCCAGCATCACCTCTTTGTACAGGGCCCTCTGTGCGGGGTCCAGCTGCCCTTACTCCTCCTCGGTGAAGTCCACGGCCACATCCTTAAACGAAACAGGTTCCTAAGACACCAATGAACAGCAATTCCTCTTCAGTGAGCAAACATCTACACCAGCTTCCGTGGTACAAAGGGTACAAACTTGGCAACACTGAGAAAGGTAGACAGTATAAAGGGGACTTCAGAATTTTGTCCTAAACTGTAAGAATAATTTAAAGAACAATAAAAAAATTTTAAAGATATGTATATCTTTTGCAGAGGCTCACCAACCTTAATAATATGAGGAGCTCTTAAAAATCAGCTAAAAAAAATAAAATGCTCCCGGTAAAAATGGACAAATGGTAAATAATCTGAGTAATTTCAAGAAGAAAAAAAAATTACCAATAAACACATGAAAAGACATGCTGCCTCACAAATTATCAAAGAAATGGATATCCAGATAACGAGGCATTATCTTCCCTTATCCTTGGGGCAAAGATTAAGACTTATAATACCCACTACCAGTGACAGTATGAGAACACACATACCCCCATATACTGTTGGAAGGAGTATAAATTGGTATAAACTTTTTTGGAGAACAATTTGGCAGTATTTATCAAACATATCTTTTGATCCAGCATTTCCAATTCTAGAAATCCATCCTCATAAGATAACTAATGACTTCCCTGCTGATAAACCCAATGGAAAGTTTTCAATCCTTTTTATGCTTGACTCCTTGGCATTATTTGGCCCTGGTGACCACATGGTGTTCCTCAAAACTCCTCCGAGAGTCTGGATATCATAGTATCCTAACTCTCCTAACACTCTGGTCAATCTTTCTCAATCTCCTTCTCTCCTGGTCAATGTGCAGGTTTCCTGGGTTGGATCCTGGGCCTTCTTCTCACTCTCCCTATATGATCTCATATATTCTGATAGCTTCAAACGCCAACTGAATGCTGACAACTCTCAAATGTACTTTGGCAGCAAAGACCTCAAGCTATACCTAGAGTTCCAGACCCAAATAACTCCTTGGTGAACATCCAGTGTGAAGCATAGTGCCTGACCTACAGTAGGTAGTCAATAAATTTCTACCAAGTGAAAGAAATATCTATTTGGATGTCTCAAAGACATCTAAATCAACATGCTCAGTTCTGACTTTATCTTCCTTTCCAAGACTGCTTCTCTCCCAATGCTCTCTAACTCAGGAAACCCCACCTCCAACCACCCAGATGTTTAGGTCAGAAAAAAAGGAGTCATCTTTGACTTCCTCTCTCCCATCCCTCACATGATCCGTCACTATATCTTTAAAAATATCTCTTTTACCTCCACTGCCCCCACTTTATTCTGAGCCACCATGACCTCACCTCTGCCTCCTAATTGGTCTATATCATCCTGCCTTCCTACAACATCTCTACTCTGGCTCCTCTTTTTGTGCCCATTCCTTAAATATTTATATTTGTGTTCCTCAAGATTCTTCTCTGGTTATCTTCGTTTTCTTCTCTTCTCACATATCAGCTGGATGATCTCAACCAAGCCCATGACTTTAATGACCATATACATGGTGACAACTCATAAATTTGTATCTTTCACCTGGATCTGTCTCAGACCTTGATATCTATCTACCTTCTAGACTTCTTTAATTGGATGTCCGACAGGTGCTTCAAACTGTCTTCTAACTCCCCTCTGCACACACAAACACACACAGAAACACAGAGGCTCCATCTCCTCTGTTCCTTATCTCAGTGAAGACTATCACCTTTCACCCAGGTGCCCAAAACTTGCATTTCAGCCTTAACTACTCCCGTTCCCTCACTCTCCACCACCATATACAGACCCACAGTGTTATATATGTTTTAGATACGTACTTGGAAATGTCCATATTCTTTATACACTTATTTATCTACAAAGCCAAGTTCTATTCCATTTCATTTCAAAGTTATATTTCAACATAAAGTTCATTTGACGCTGGCTAATTAGCCAGGCTAACTGATACCTTTATTATTAAACAAATCCAAGGATTCTTTGATCTATCATTCTTTTTGGAAGCCCAACACCTTTAAACATTTAATTAGGAAGATATCATTTCTATTTTCAAGCAAGCTTGTAGATTCTTAGACTATCTTAAAGACTAACCACGAAGTGTAAATATAGCTGCATCCACACCTGAACAGAGTGGCTAGGTATTAAAATGCCCTTGATAAGAATTGGCAGTTTTGGGAATAGACAGGAAGGTGTCCTATGAACTGAAAATGATTTTATGAGATTACTTAAAAGCTAGTGCTTTCCTTTCCAATCACTGCACTGTAAAGAAGTCTAATATGGGTACAGCCACTGTGGAAAACAGTGGTTCCTCAAAAAACTAAAAATAAAACTACCATATGATCCAGCAATCCCACTCCTGGGTATATATCCAAAGAAAAGGA